AAATGTATCATTTGTGCACTTGATATTTGATGCCCTTCATCTCCTTGAACTTTCCCTTTTCTGTAAGCTCATCTATTCCCTGGAGTTCCAGCTCTTATCTAACTCTTCCTTCTTCCTTTGGCGGGGGTGAGGATGGAGGGCTGAAAAGAATGCCAGACATGGAATGAAATCAGCAGAACTGGTTTCTATTTGTAGGTCTGCAACTAGCTAGGCCGTTGGTCTTGGATGAGTTATTTAACCTCTCTGGCCCTCAGTCTTCTCATGTTTCAAAAACTTGAACCATGTTCATTGTTGGGTTTTTTTCTAGTCTTGTTTATTTAAGTAATCTCTCCATCCCACGTGGGGCTCGAACTCACAACCCTGAGATCAAGAGTCACATGCTCTTCCGACTGAGCCAGCTGGGCACCTCCATTGTTCATCGTTTACTGCTTGTCTCACCCTGCCAGATGGCAAGCCCCAGTAGCGCAGGAATCTTTGTTCTCCTCACTGATGGATCCCAAGATCCCAGCACATGGCACATAGTAGGTGCCTGATGAAAACTTGTTTCATAGATAAATAATTCACTTCTCTGTTAGTGGTGCCCCCATTTATCCAGTCTCCCACTGTAGACATCACAGAGTTAGTGAAAATTCCTGCCTCTCGTTACATGTTTCCAGTAACCAAGTCCTGTTTCCTAGCTTTTCTCATATCCATCCTTTCGCCTCTATCTGTGCTTAAATTCCCTTATATCAAGTTTTCATCACTTTTTAATATATTCTCCAAACTACTTTCAGAGTTATCATTTTAAAATACAAACATGGTTGGGGCGCCTGGGTGACTCAGTTGGTTAAGCGTCTGCCTTCAGCTCAGGTCATGATCTCGGGGTCCTGGAATGGAGTCCCACATCAAGCTCCCTGCTCAGCGGGGAGTCTGCTTCTCCCTCTTCCTCTGCCTCTTCCCCCCACTCATGCTCTCTTTCTCGCTCTCCCTCTCAAATAAATAAATAAAATCTTTAAAAAAATAAAACAAAATACAAACATGGTCATGAAATTAACCTCTTTAAACCCCTTCAGTGGCTTTCCCATTGTCCTCAGGCTCAAGTCCAAACTCCTAGGTGTGGTATACAGGCCCCTTCATGATTTGTGAAATCTTCTGTGAGCACTTCCTAGACCTTCAGGTAATGCAAAATACACCTTGCGCATTGCATCTCTCTCTCTTTTAGAGCATTTAGTGAGAGACATTTTAAATCTTTGTTCACAAGTGTCTCCCCAGATATGGATATGTTTCATCACCTCACATGCTGACAGGGAAATAATAGGGGCTCAACAAATGTTTGGCAAATGAACAATTAAGTGAGGAGGTTAGATCATTGTTTGGCTTTCACCTATGGGCAAACCATTTAACGTCTCTGTGCCTCCAAGTATTAAAATCTCTAGTGATGCGATGGCAGAGGGACTAGAAACTACCACATCTATGAAACACTGAAGCAGGTATCTCTACACTTTCTTCCACATCTAATCTTCTATGGACTATCACTTTTCCTGATCATTTGATTTGTTTGGGTGGGTAAGGGTGATTTGAGGTGAGGGAGGAGTGGGGTAGGGTTCAGGGTAGTTCATCTGGAAGGGGGGAGGGGCAAGCATAGGCACGTTCATAATTAGCCCTTTCTTCTCCTTCTGAGTGATTTCTGCTGACAGGATTGGTGCATGTCTTTGTGTATCAGGTGGAAGGGGTGAACTGGGGAAAGAGAAACTCTCAGCACAGTGAATTTCATGTTGATTCGTTGGCAATACAAATATTTGAATTTGTACAACTGGTGACTGGTATATTGCCAAAGGTTTTGCCCAATTCTGAGGCATCAGGAAGGACACATATGGATGTGAGTGGCCTTAGGGAGAAATTGTATGATACAGAATCACTATTTAATCAATAAATGTTTATTAAGTCATATATAAAGAGGCAAGTTTTTGACTAAATGTTAAGAACCTTCTTATGGTAAAGATATTACATATTGGTGTTCTCTAGAGTCTTGACTTTCTTCATTCTCATTTTCTGCATCTTCTTGAACAATAATGTGCGTTCCTAAGGTCTGAACTATATCACAAATATTTGTGTCCAGTTCAGGATTCTCCCATTAGTTCCATTCTTATCAATCCCTCACTGGACATCCCCACCCAGATCTTCTGCAGACACCTCTAACTCAGCACATCCACAACTGACCTCATCAGGTCCTGTCTCTCTGCCCACACCTGTTTTTCTGCCAGGGCTTTTTTGGTCTCAGCTGGTGGTGCTTCCTTTTACCTAGCCACCCAGGATACTTATCTCTGGCTCCTCTCTGTCCCTCATCTGCCATGGTAACTGCTCTCTGGTCTGTCTCCACCTCACTATTCTCACAGCTGCAGTTTTAGCCCAGGCCCTCCCCAGCACTCTACTTCTGGGCTACTCTCATAATCACATTGCGCTTGTCCGTTACATCCCCACATCATGCATCTCAGTCCTCTCAGTTGCTGTCAGAGTAGTCTATCCAACTTGCAGCTTATTATAAGCCACTCAGTGGCTTCTTATTGTGTCAAGGGGAAATGTAAATCCCTTAACATGTTGTGCAAATAAAACTCCCCATGTTCCAGCTCCTGCCCATGTCTCCTCTAGACTCCTAGGCTGCAGCTCTACCCAATGACTTGCAAATCCTCAATTGTGTCACTTGAATTCACATCTCTATTTCTTTAAGTTACTCCTTCTGCCTGGAATGTTCTTGCCCCTCTTGTCCACATAATAAACATGTACATCTTTCTAATGTTGATTCAAGTGCTGACTTCTTCAAAGCCTTGCCTGACTATAGGACCTCTTCTCATGGAAATACCCCACGGCTCCCTCTTTGTGCTCTGCGGCACCTGACCCTGCACATAGTCCAATGATAAGACTTTTTTTATATGGTGAATTAGGTGAGGGGCTCCTAGGGGAGAGGACAGTACAGTACAGTGGTTAAATATATGGAATATGAAGCCAGAATACCTTAGTCCAAGTTTAGACTCTGATACCTATTATACAGTTGACTTTGGACATGTTATTTAACCTCTCTGTGCCTCGCTTCCTCATTTTTTTTTTTTTTAAGATTTTATTTATTTATTTGACAGAGAGAGACACGGCGAGAGCAGGAACACAAGCAGGGAGAGTGAGAGAGGGAGAAGCAGTCTTCCCACTGAGCAGGGAGCCCAATGCAGGGCTCGATCCCAGCACCCTGGGATCATGACCTGAGCTGAAGGCAGAAACTTAACGACTGAGCCACTTGGGTGCCCCTCAGGTTCCTCATTTGTAAAGTGGGCACAATTATAGGACTTACCTCACAGGGTTATTATGAAGATTAAAAAATATATGTACAACACTTAGAATAGTGCCTATTACAGAATAATTATGTGAGTGTGTGCTTTAGTAATAATACAAATGTTAACATTCTTGTTTTAAACTTGAAGCTCTAGACGTACTATATCTGACACATGAAAGGCTGGAAGGCGTTCAATAACATTTAGCAAATAAATCAGTAATCAGGTTAGAGCCACAATACCCAGCTACCTTCTTTCTCTAACCATCTTCTAGCTTGTTCTATGTGTCTCTTCCACTAGACTATAAGCTTCTCTTGTGCAAGAACCACATCCATCTTGTTTGCCCCAATATCCCCAGCACCAAGCACCATGCCAAGCACATAGCAGGCACACATATATCTGCTCAGTAAATAAATGAATAATTTTTCAAGGTCCACATTTTAGTTATTATTACATTGTCTTTATCATTTTATACATTTCTGAAACTGTAAAATGCAATCCTCTCTCCCATATTATTTCTATGTGAGGCAACAAAATTAAACTGAATTAATGCTCTTAACAGAGGGATGTTCTTGTTTCTTTACAGCATAAGACTGCAGACTTTTTGGTTCATAAACGAATTCAGCGGTACAAGAAGTCTCACAGAGCTTCTATTCTTTCCTGTTTAGCACATGGCATTTTATATCCTCAACAAAATTCATAAGCAGAGGTTCCATAGGCGTTCTTATTTATTAATTCTACTCATTTAATGAGCACATGGCCTAAGGATAAGAAAAAAAGTATAAAGAATGACCCATTATTTTTAGTTTAGGTGGTGGAAAAACAAATCATGTACGCAAATGGCTACATCACGATGCCGATTTTACTCTAGCAATGAGTATGGTAGGATTTCAGAGGATCCTCTTGATGTGATCAGGAGGGGTTTTATAGAATAGCTAAAACTGTAGTTGGTCTTGGTGGATGGGCTGGATTTTCAGAGGTGGAAAGGTACCAGCACTCCATGCTAAGGAAAGGGCATAGAGAAAAGTGTGAACGTGTGATGTACTGGGAGTGAGCAGAGCATATGAGTCCTTTTGCAGAAGGAGGGATTTATGCAGGAAGCAGAAGTAGAAGACAGGCTAGAGACAGGGATTTGGAATAGTTTCTGGTGGGCTTTTCATAACAGGCGAGGATATCTGAACTTTATCTCTAGACAGTGGAGATCTATCACTGATTTTAAGGTAGGGAATAGGAAAAGGAAAGCCAAGTTGTGGGAATAGTAATTGGGCGGCAATATGGCAAGGTATAAATAGAGTTCCTGAGCTAAGTTCCATTTTTAAGTGATGGAACACCCAGCGGAAATACTCAGCAGATGACTGGAATTGAAGGATTATTTGAGTTTGGTGGGGGGCGGATACTGATTTGAAATAACCTGTAGAGAACCGACAGTAGGAGACATGGGAAAGGATGAAATGACTACAAGAGAATGCAGAATGAGGGCAGAGGTTCAAGTCCAGACTGACAGCAACAAAAGATATAATTACAAGCCCAGTAGTATGTTGCTTACGAAAACCCAGTCAAATACTAACGTAGGAAATACTTGGAAGCCCCTTATGACCATGAAGGCATTCAGATCAGACTTTGAGAAGTACCACCTTACGGCAAAGACGAGTGAGGATTTGGGAGTGGAGGAAGCAGGAGAAAGAGGTAACTCCAATGTACCTGTTGAGCAGTCAGATCCTGTCCACTTGGGATCACAGCTGCACACTCCAGTGTCCAGAAGAAAAGTTCCATGTCCTGAGCACTGCTCTTGACATATAGGAAGTGGGGTTTCACAGTTGACTCCTCCCCAACCAGTAGAACAGTGACATTCTCCTTTTACACAGATGCCATGGCTGGAACACATCGGGTCTAAGCAGTCCTCTGAAGGCACCGAAAAGGAGGAAAAAGGTTAAAAGTGAACAGGTGTGGCCTGTATACCTTAGGATAGTGAAACTGAGATACGCACACTGATTTCCTACTATGTCATTAATATTGTTTTAATTAGGTAATAAAATGTCTCATGCAAAGGCTGGATTCAAACCAGAAGATTATTAACACTTAAAAATATGGGAGGGTATCATAAAGTTTGTATCCTAAAATTAGAAGATGAAGGAAACCACACATCTGTTGTATAAAACTGTGAGCAGTGTGCAGTACTCCCACACAAATGGGTGGGTGCACCACTGTGAGCCTTCGATAGGAATTCTTCAGCTTTGCAAAAAAGCCCAAGAATTTTTGGGGAGTCCTTCCTTGTCTTTTTTGAGATTGGAATCATAGCTCTGAGAAATGGCTTTCAGTTGATGTGACTAGAGAAGAAGATATACATAATAATTACACAGAGAATATAAAAATACTACATATAAAAATATGTCTACAAATATAAAAATGTTTATATATAAATATATAAAATATTAAAACGTACATGTCTTTTTAAAGCTTAGATTACTAAGTATAAGTGATCTGACCACTGTTACGTGAAATCATACAATATTATGAATTTATTATAATCTTTCACTAATTTCTTAGAAACACTGAAAATGTAACATTTGTAAACTTAATTTTAAAAATCATTAAAGTTTTTTTTTATGGCTTCTCCTTCCATCAGGATGCTGTGACATAGTTTTCAATGTTTTAGAATATCACAGATGTACTTCTATTTGTTTCTGATTCTGTGAGTTTGGAAATATTTGGACACGTTCTAACAAAGGTATAAACTCTTAGGAGTAGATCCCTGTGTTTGCCTTGGGGAAAATAGTTTTGTGTTTTTAACTGAGTGACCATTCCATGGGAAACAACAAGGTTGATTTCCGAAATTCTACTCTCCCAATACAAATAAGATGAGACTAAAATAACTCCCCATAATGAGGATGTATGCTTTGAACAACTTTTCCAGCCATGGAGACAGACTGATAAAAACCTGCCTTCATTCGCAAAACTGGTCTTGTTTTGGGTGTGGCCTACAGTCATGGAACAGAGTAAGCCTAACTAAGCATTATTGTAATTAGTGCTATTGCCATTATAATTAACCCCAAATCTCAAGGTCATCAGCACAATGCTTTACTACCTGTGCTAATCAGCAAATAAATACGAAAAGGTACATCTAATTTGATTTCGTTCATTATTTGGAGTGAGAGTCTAAAGTACGGAATAATGTTTTAAAAGGAGGCCATTGTATTATATTAAAACACAACAACTTTAACAAGTAAAATAAGATTTAACTTAGTATAGTTTATTTTACTAAAAGGCCACTTTCAATGAGTACGTAAGTCACTTAAATCAGAGGCACGAAGTCATAGGGCTGAATGGGCCAGCAGGCAGCCTACATGATTGAGATGAACTGGATAGAAGAAGCCAGTGTGTTGGGAGTGAACTGGGAGAAGCATTCAGTTTAACAAAAAGTGATGCTTCTTGGTTCCAGGTGATCATCACCATGTAGGAACATGGCCCCAGGGTCATCAGATTTTCCAGTTGTTCAAGAGACCCAAAAGAGAGGTTTTTATAGGACACTTCTCTATTTTTAAATTTTGGCAAGTAGACTGCATTAAAAACAACAACAACAACAACAAAAAACATTACCACCATCACCACTGTGTGAACAAAACAAAATCCATCCATAAGCCCAATTCAGCCTGTGAGTTTCCAGTCTGTGACGTTTGACTTAAACATTCTTTTCTACTGTATTTGACAAGTTCATACTGTTAAATATGATGAGCATTCTTCCTTGCTATCTTGGTTATTCTACAGATTTTCTTAGTGATCCCTAGAAGGGAAATGTAAGCTAAGCCATTTTTCAACTGCTCCCAAATTTTAATTATAAGGCTCTAAATTAATTAGGTCAAACATTTTCATGGCCAACTGTAGATATTGTGAGAGACAGCACGTTTTGGTGAACATGCATATGTCCACATAACCTCTAAATTTACAACTTAAATATAATGATTGTGGTTGGATCACCATAAAAACAATTTCCAGAAGTACTCTGGTGCCCTGTCTAGGCCCAGGGCCATGCACTGGAACAGATACAGTCTTCACACCAAAAGTCTACTATTGCTAATGGGAGGTGGAAAGCTAAACTCTTGGAGCAGAATGAGATTAAACCCTTTAGAATGCTGTGTAATAGTCTTAATGAGCCATCTTTAAAAAGCAATTATAGTGCATTTTCAGCAGCCTCTTTCCTGAACAACAGTTGTGATGAGACCATCTCCCATGGTAATGGTTTAATATTATTTCTGAAATCAGTCTTATTTGAGGAATGTAGCATGAAAAAGGTCTGATTACTAGTAAACTTATTTTCCAATGTGTCTCTTTAAATGAGAAAACTATTGCCATTTCAAACGATGTTTGTGCGTGTGTGCATAAAGGTTCCTTTGGGGTGAATTGTAACATAAAGGCACTGCCTTGAAACTCATTAATGGTAAGTTGGCTTCCTTAGGCACGGAGGTCAAGTTTCAGCATGAGGTATGTAAAAATGAATAATATAAAGCAATGATAATAATGGTAATTACAAATCGCTCCCAAAGAAAACATTCAACGAAATGGTTCCAAATGTGCATATATTATTATTTTTATCATGTGCTTTAAAGTAAGATGTAGCCTAATGTACTGTGTAATAATGAAAGTATATGAATGAACACCTAATATCATCAACATGGAAATTCCCAAGTTATAGAACAGTGTTAGAAATGAGGAGGGAAGCACCATTTTCCCTTACCGTTCTGCGAGTGTCACAGACACAGCCTTCTGTTAATATTAGAGACTGTCAGAAGAGACATGAACTCCCCTGACTCCAGCCCTCTGCTCCGTGTACTAAAGACATATTGAACATTTACTGCTTGCAAAGACGACTTGCATCTCTACTAGAAGCACACAGTGACACTTGGACAGTTCAGAGAGAGAAAAGCCTGAAGTAAGAGATGAAAATGGGGCTCTGACCTTCCTCGCATATTTCTCCTTTGTAGCCTGGCACACAGATGCAGACCCCCATGATGCAGGTGCCGTGACCGAAGCATGTTGGGTCAATGCATTGCTCTTCTGGAACGTCGCACTCTGGCCCCTTCCAGCCATTTCGGCAGACACAGTGTCCTTTCTCGTATTCTCCATTCCCGCCACACAGCACAGGGCACGAATCTGAAGGTTGGCAAATGAACTTGTAGTGTTCTCAGAATGCTTTTAAAATCTTCAAAGGGGCAATTCTCTGTTGATTCTTATCTAATATTTCAGGCAAAAATTTGTACTATTTCTGTCTTAGCCTTTATTAAATAGGCACTTGTTTGTGATTACAAATAGAATTTTCCTCTTACGGTAGTGGAGTAAGGATAAGTGATAAAAATATAAATTTATGCCGAGTATTTGCTTTTGATCCCACCATACTTTTAAACAATTATTATTATTATCATTATTATCATCATCATTTCAAGCTAGGGTTTTTTTCTCTAATGGCTTTACTTCCTCAAACAGATGTATGCTACTTTTAGAAAGAAAACACGAAAAATGTAAAAACTGATAAATAGGGGAGTTATTCATATTATGAAATGCTATCTTTAAAAGTCGTACATTTAAATAGATTTATGCTGGACAGATGTTTACTCCCATGCCACTGTGTGCAGACCTTTATTAGAATACTTACTCTGCTTTGTCATTGTTGGCTCCCTATTAAAACTATGGGCTCCTTGAGGGCAGGGCCTACATCTTTTGTCTTATTCAATTTTTAATACCAGCCATCATCTTTATTCCTAATACCCATATTTGCAAGACCTGTCATGCTCCTGGGAAGCAGCAAGTGCTATAGAATTCTCAGCTGAGCAGAATTTAATCTAAAGAAACTGAGTGCCTGGGAAACCTGAGATTAAAGCATTAGCAGACTGAGAACTGTGAGAATATACCAAAAAAGAGCAGAAAGCATCTCTACGGTAATAACTGTAAGTCTATGGGGAAACACAGTGTGACTTACCTAAAGCTTTTTAAGAATTAAACTATGGGCAAGTCTAGAAAACAGTAAAGTTTGCCAAGTTCAACTTCTGACTTGCCAGTATTTAATTTTTAAGCCTACTTACTGGTTCGGAGACTGCCTGTCCTTTTGAGTTTACATGGGTGTGTGTATAAGCAGTTACAGACGACTAGGTACAAATTCCACCTGTCAGGTAACCCTATTTCACCTCTTCGAGGATGCTTCTTTGCCCAATAAACTGGGATAATAGTAGCTCTATCTCACCAGGCTATTGCAGGAAGTATGAATCTGAAGAGGTAACAGAGTGTTTAGAACACTGTCTGGCAGGGTAAGTGCTCAACTTTTGGTTGTGGTGCCGGTGGCGGTGGGGTGGATACTGCTGCTCTTGTCATCGCTACTACTGCCCCTTCTCCTCCTCCTCCTATTGCTACTGATCCTGAGTTCTCAAATGACATGTATTTCCCTAAGCCAATTGGAGTAACAGAGCAACATTACCTCTCGCACAGTCAGGCCCAAGGAATCCTGGAAAACAATGACAATGGCCCGAGATACACTCTCCATTTCCATTGCAATTGGTTGAACAGTCATCCATTATTTCTAGTAATAGAGAGAAAAAGGAAAAAAATGAGCAAACTTCCAGGCTGTAGTGTCCTTAATTTTTTTTAAATTGTAAGAACTCTGGGCTTGTAACAATCTTGTCCTGTGCTGTCTTGGAGCACTTACTATTTAAAATCAGATGCCAAAGATTTTTGTAAGATGTCACATGCAGTACCAAATTATTAAAAGGGCCCTGGAATTGCTGAATTGGCTATTCAAGAGTGAAACTAAAAACCAACCTCATCTCTAAAGTGCATAAAGGGTCTAGATGAATTGTATTCTTATGAGACATTCATGACAAAGCTAAAAATGTCCTAGGATTATAGGACTAATCCTAGGACATTTATCAAAAGCAAAATGGGCTTAAAATTGCAACCCAAAAGACTCAGTCTACTGTTTATTTTTCAAATTTAGGTTTTAACAAACAAAAAATTTCTTCTCTATCATCTTAAAATGTTTAATCTACCATCTTGACAGCTTAAATATGATAATCAGTATTTCATTTTCATTAATAAGTGACAATGGAAGGCTTTTAAAGTAAGTGTTCATATTATGAGACTGAGTAAGTGTTCATATTAAATTCAACACCACTAAAAGCATTAGAACCTAAGTATTTTGTTGAGAAATGCTTTCTTGACTGTAAATGCTTATCAGTTCTCTGCCACTAATTTCCCTTCAATCCATTCTTAGAGAAGAATAGGTTTCAGGGGAATCGAGAAGGCTTTGAAGGTGCCCACAGGTAGTTCTGGTGACATAAAGATGTGCAGTGAGACAGAACTTTGATAAGTCTTGTGGTAAGTAATTTGGCTGAAAAGGTATGAAGCTATACAAAAGTCAGGCTCCGACAATGACAAAATTATTTCTAGTTTAAAATTGTATGAGAGTATAATAAAATCAAATTCCAAGTCCATGAACTATTATGGTATGTGTGCTTTCTTCTTTCAATTTTCTTTTTTAAATCATCTTCTCATTACTCCTTCTGGAAATTTTCCATACTTAGCATTCTTGGATTCAGAATTTTATGCTCTGGCCCATTAAACTCATACTTCTCGTATGTACCAGTTTTTCCTTTTCAATCCAAATTATCTACTTGGTCTAGTTTCACTTGCATAAGCTATTTCCAATTAGAAGGAGATATTCTAAGAAGTGGTTTTGGCAACTTCTACTCAACTATGAGAATTTATAATGAGGGTTGGGAAATAGCATTTCTTCAATTGTGGCCTTCTGACCACCAGTATCAGGAGGATCACCGGAAGCACCTAAAATGCAGATGCCTAGGCTTCATTCCAGACCTACTGAATCTGAAGGATGCAGCCCAGTGATCCACATTCTAACAAAAACCTCAGTTGACCCTGCAGATGCTCACTGCCTTAAAGCATTGCGAACCAACGCTTCAGATAGTAAACTTCCATAGTTAGACAACTTCTGATCTAGACTTGGAGTTCCACCTTGGGTAGAATAAAAGCAAGAGGAAGAAAGTGGTATCTAGTTTATTTGGGGAATGCTTAGAAGCTGAGAATGAATCCAGTGGCTGTGTGGAGAGCCACCCTATTATCACGCAGAGGAGATTTTTCTTCTCACCCCCGTGTGAATACATCAGATGGCTCTTTGCAGGTTTATGATAATCTGTTCTCTGATCCCTGTGTTCGAAAACTGAACTGGATAAGAAATTTATATGTGGCATTTGCTGAACTACAATTGGTCTGGCAGGAATGGAGCATTTGACAAAGAGCTACCCATTTTTAACTTGTTAAAACATTAGTTATTTTCATAAAATCATTAATTTATTTAAAAGGTCATTATAAAAAGGCACAAAGAGTTTTTTTTTCATTCAAAGATGGAACAACCATTTCTCTATTTTCTACTTAATCCATCTTTCTTGTACCAAGCAATAGTGGCACTTTTTAGATCTACATTTGGATTTCCCCTGCCCTGGATGGTTAATAGGAGGCCCTAGAGGACACTTTCGAAGGTAAATATAGTTGAATTTAATTTCACACCAGCTCCTATTGACAACTTTATGGAAGCAGCCTTGTGGGAATGTAGCTATTGTAGAAAAAATGTTTAATAAAGTTTGCTATCAAAATAAATAAAAATCCCTCCATCTTATTGACTTATCTAAGATCTGTCCCTGGGCCCACACTGCTGCATGGAGCTTAACACCAGCAATGCAAGCGAGAAGAGAAGGCAATATAGGGAGGTTCTGGAAGCTGCCACCTCCACCAGGTATGAAAGATACACTGGGAGGAGGATGGCTACAGCAGGAGCACGTAAGTAACCAGAGGTGAAAAAGAATGTGTTTTTCTATTTACATTGGCCTCCGTGAAATTTTGCCTTCCATCTTTTTAATCTTACTTCAGAATCGCTTCCTTGACCACAGTTCATTAGACTTGAGAAGGATTTTAAAGTTCTATGCATAAAACTCTGCTCTTCTTCCAGAGTCTAAAGCCCCTTGGTATCTGCATCTGCACTGATGGATGGGTTTTGTTTCTGGCAGGTTTTCTTATGGGAGGAACTAAAGGTAATGAATAGTCTGATGGAGTAATTTTGGTATAAAGGGCATGGGCTTTGGAATCAGACATACTAGGTGTCTCAAATCTCAATTTTGCCACTTGCTGGCTGTGAGAGTCAGATTATTTACTCATTCCAAGCCTCCATTTCCTTATTTATTATATAAATATCACTACACCTATGCTATCAGGGTTGTGATGAGAATCAAACAAGATAACTGAATGTAAAGTGTCTGGTACTGTGCTTGGGGGCAGAATGGCACTCCATAAATGGTATATATTGTCATGTTACAGAGCAGGTTGGCTGAGATTAGGGGATACTGGCAACTCTGTCTATACTACTAGAAAATAATATATATTAATATAGGCCAGCGGCTAACCTATACTAGTTATTCAATAAATGTTGGTTGTTAATACTGTCTTGACCCTTATTAGTAGCGGACCAAATATAGTTAAGATCAATCAACTGATTCTAACATTATCATGAAAGAGAATGAACAGCATTTTAGCATAGTTAAATCATGCTAAGCTTAAATTGCTTAATCAAATATATTAGCCTCTTTTTACTATAATTAGGATAAATTATAAAAAACATAAAAATAAGGGGGAGAATTTAGAGTAAATAACTTAATACCTTTGATTTTTTTTTTCAGAAATTTACTTGGATTCTCTTTAAGTGGAATTGCAGGAAAAGTGTTTCTGTTGCTTCAGGAGAAGTAAAAAAAAGCCTGACTAGCATAAGGAAAAAGCAAATACTTTGTTGCATATGATACTGACAGCTTGGTATCTGGATAATAAGAATTCTATCTCAAAGGTTAGCTTCTTTTTGGGAGGAAGTAAGAGAGGGAAAAAAAACTTCAAGCATGTTTCTGGGTCTATTGATTTTTGAAAGGTTAATAGTTGGGTTAGTGTTTTAACTTGAACTTGGTGGTAAGGATAACAAGAAGGGAGAACATCTTCACAAATATTTTAGATCTTCTAATTGCTTGATGTCTGAGGAGAAACTCAACCTCTCATAACTCATTGGTCTTTGCATTATCAAAATTGGGTCTTGACAGAAAAATATCATGAAAGCTAGATCTATTAAATCTGCTCCATTGAGTCTGTGAGCGTTGCAAAATAGTGTCATGACTTAAAATACTTTTTTCTAATTTAACAAATAACGTTGTCTTTTGAAGATGTAAAATCAGTGGAGTTTTTCTCCAGGGAAAAAGTCATCAGTGCATTTTTATAGCCTTTCTGATTACTTTAGAGGAAAGTTTTTTTAAAAAAAAAAAGAAGAAGAGGGCGCCTGGGTGGCTCAGTTGGTTAAGCGACTGCCTTCGGCTCAGGTCATGATCCTGGAGTCCCGGGATCGAGTCCCGCATCGGGCTCCCTGCTCGGCAGGGAGTCTGCTTCTCCCTCTGGCCCTCCCCCCTCTCATGTGCACTCTCTCATTCTCTCTGTCTCAAATAAATAAATAAAATCTTTAAAAAAAAAAAAAAGAAGATAGTAGGAAGGGAAAAATGAAGGGGGGAGAAATCGGAGGGGGAGACGAACCATGAGAGACTATGGACTCTGAGAAACAAACTGAGGGTTCTAGAGGGGACGGGGGTGGGGAGTTGGGTTAGCCTGGTGATGGGTATTAAAGAGGGCACGTATTGAATGGAGCACTGGGTGTTATACGCAAACAATGAATCATGGAACACTACATCAAAAACTAATGATGTAATGTATGGTGATTAACATAACATAATAAAAAAAAAAGAAAAGAAAAGGCAGATAAATGCCTCTTGAAGTGGAAAAACTAGCATCAGTCCAGTTCTTCTTTAGCACAGCTGGTTCTAGAACCATTGTGCCTTCAAAATACAACCTAAGAGTATTTAGAGAAGAGTCTTAGGGACAATAACAATGATGGAAACTTTTTTAACATATAGTGTATTATTTGTTTCAGAGGTACAGGTCTGTGATTCAACAGTCTTACACTGCCTTTTCTTTTCTAATAGCTCTTGAATTAACAGAGATTCTCTTGCTTACTCCCTACTTCCTTGAAGTTGTTCATCAATGCAGCCCTGGTAATATGATTATCCAGGTGATTATTCCTTTTGAAAACAAAAAAAGGTACATGGCAACTATCCTACAATAGCAGCAAATAATGCAGCATTAAAAAATCTTAGCATTTAAACAACATTAATGACAACAATATAAGATGGACTTTAAGGCAGAATGAGCAATGAGTTTACACAACATCTGTATCACTTTAATCACTGATCTCTTTCTAGAACTCTGCTGTTAATTCAAAATAATTGTCAAGGCAGCTTACCGATTGCTGTGGTTAACACGAATACTTGCTCCATCTTTTTTCCATCATTGTAAAATGCCAGATACCAAGGCCCTTGGTCCATATACTCTATGAAACCGGTCTCTTGCAGTGAGGTTAAGATCAGGTTCCGAGGGGAGTGCTGGGTATCATCAGAGCCCTTAGGATCCTGCTTGACCAGTTGTTTTCCATCCATCAATTTTACAAAATCAAACTGGAACAAACACACACACAAATATGAGCCACTACTTTTACTTCTAGACTAATGAACAACTTTAACTTCAATTGCCCTATTTCACACTTCATACTTCTCTGAGGGAGGCCAAGTGAAAGAAGAAGTTATTCGTTCTTAAGTATACTTAAACACCCTTAGGCAAGAGAATCTTGATATTCTACTAAAGTATCAGATAAAAGATATTTGGAACCACACATTCCCCTCAAAAATGTGACCATGATCTTCTCTACAAATTCAAGAGTTTTACAGTTTTTAAAACAAGTAAACAGTCAAAAATTTGAGAACATTCATCATAATTTACTACCTTTGTGGTAGCATATTTAAATTAAATATTCAAAGAACCCCCTCTTTTCCTTTAATCAATGGACAAGCACATGGCACACATTTCCTTGGACTTTTTTTTAAGAGTCACATTTGAATTCCCATCCAGAAGGTAAGGTTTGGACTACAGTCATATCTGTTCAAAAAAAAGCAATCCCCTGATGATTATGATTCCTTATGCTACTTCTTAGATGGAGCAGGACCCCAAATGGGTTCGTGCAAGGAAGAGATAAGGAAAAAAAATGAGAGAAATCAGGTGGCTAACATTTATAGAAGGGCTTTGTAAACCATAGAGGTTTTACATATTTAAGTTATTATTAACAATAACAAGAAAAATTTTCTACCTGTAAGATAAAACCTCCCTTTTGGACTCATTTCCTTTATTGCTTTGCATTCTTCATTGGGACAAGGGGTCAAGGCCATATGGAGCCAGCTAAGGGGGGGTGTGGGCCCAAAAGCTAAATAAGATGAGGGGGTGGGGAAAGCTCACAATAATCCTGTTCCAGGAAACAGAATTCAAGTTTCAAGAGTATTTTCTTAAACTTTCTTTTCTGAATTTGTTCTGCTAAATGCTATTGCTTATTTCTCAATGTCATTTCCTTTTCATTCATTTGAGTGTGATTATTTTGGATATTTGCCCATTACAAACATTGTCTGCCTTTACATTTGACCCCCACATACCTTGCAAGTCACAAACCCTGAACTATTCATCCCACCGCCCTCTAAAAGGGTCAAGAAATACCTATAACATTAAATACCTGCGTGTGTGTAGGTGGAATGTTTCTTCTGCCATAAATTCCCAGCAGAGAGTCCTTGGCTAAAGAAATATTGAATTTCAGGTATATAGGATGGTGGATAGTAATCTGGAAACGCCAGAATAAGCCGGGTGGAATGGTCTGCATGACCTGTGCACCAATGTCAACTTCTCCAGTGTCTATCGCCCGTCCCTTCTGAAACACTGGTTTTAAAGGTAAAGAAAATTGCACATGATATTAATCTTAATGTATAAAGCAGTGGTTTTTAGTTTTTCACCACAAATACATCAAAATGACTTCCTAAGCTCTTTTTCTCCTCCCTACCCTACCTGTATTTCAAGGCTTTGCCCAAATCAAATATCTTCCAAGGAGCCTTCCACAACCAACCAATGTACCAGTCTCTTCCTTCTCTTGAATTACTACTGCATTTATTTCCATCATTTGATTCATTTTCACCACTATTTAGTGAGCATGGTCTGGGTAGCTACAGGAGATACAACGATGAACAAGATGCAGTTCTTGCGCTCAAGGAGTTTTGAATACATGAGAGGAAATAGGACACGTGTACAAGTAACCATGTTGTAAAGGAAAATAAGTGCTCTGGGTATTCAAAGGAGTAAAGGGTATTTGGTTGGAGGATACTCCTCATTCTTAGCTGTCTCTATGCCTTTTAACATCCTTTATTTTTCTTCTTAGTACTTATCACCCCCTAAGAAACCACATGTTTTACTTGTCTATTGCCTATTTTCTCCCAATAGAATATAAGCTCCATGAGGCTGTGGCTGTTTTGTTCCTTGCTTTATCCCCAGTAACTAGAAGAATGTACACAGTCTATGCTCCATACATATTTATTCAATGAGTGAATGAATGAGAAAAGGGTATTTATGGGAAGTAGTACTGAAGAGGGGCCTTAAAGGGGGGAGAAGATTTCAACAGAGCTGTTGAGAAGAATGTTCCACAGGGAAGGAACTCTGTACCGAAACAAAGAGGAGAGAAACTTCTAAAGCTATGGTGTAGGGTATGTGCCTATAGAGAGGAGCAGTTGGAGATAGGGCTGGAGGGAAAGGATGGCATCATAGGGCCTTGAGTGCCAGTCCTGAGGGTTTATCAAGTAAAGGATGGAAAGCCATTAAAGGTTTTTAAGAAGAGGGGAAATATTTGGGTACATTAGAAAGACTAATCTTGAAGCAGAAGGTAGGATGATTTACAGCAGGGAAACACAGGGATGATAGAGAATTATGGAGCAATAATTCAGGTCTAATGACATAAATATCTAAATTTACAGTGGGCTCAACAGTTCACATGGGATAAGTCCATTCCAGTCAACTGTAAAATAAACAAGTGGGACTACATCAAACTAGAGGGCTCTGCACAGCAAAAGAAATAATCAATAAATTGAAAAGGCAACCTACAGAACGGGAGAAAATTATTTGCAAACCATATATCTGATAAGGGTTGAATATCCAGAATATATAAAGAATTCATACAACTAAATAGTAAAAAAGCAAATAATCCAATTTAAAAATGGGCAAAGGACTTGAACATTTTTTCAAAAAAGACATACCAATGGCCAATAGGTATATGAAAAGGTGCTCAACATCTCTAATCATTGGGGGAAATGCAAATCAAACCCATAATGAGCTATCACCTCATACCCTGTTAGGCTGGCTATTATCAAAAAGATAAGAAATAACAAATGTTGTAAGGATGTGGAGAAAAGGGAACCATTATACCCTTACACACTGTTGGTGGGTATGCAAAATGGTACAGTTGTTTTGGAAAACAGTATGGTGGGTCCTCAAAAAATAGAACTACCATATGATCCAGCAATCCCACTTCTGGGTATATATCCAAAGGAACTGAAATCAAAATCCTGAAGGGATATCCACACCACATTCACTGCAGCAATACTCACAACAGCCAAGATATGGAAAGAACCTAAATATCCTTTGATGGAAGAGTGGATAAAGAGAATGTGATGTGTATATTATATATATACACACAATATACAATACATATATGTATAAAATACTCCATTGTGTGTATATATATGTACACACACAGGCAATGAAATATTATTCAGCTGCCAAAAAAAAAGAGGAAATCCTGCCATTTGCAACAACACAGATGAATCTGGAGGGCATTATGCTAAGTAAACTAAGCCAGACAGAGAAAGACAAATCCTGCATGATATCACTTATGTGTGGAATCTATAAAAGAATAAAAGCCAATTTCATAGAAACAGAAACTAGATTGGCTGCCAGGGCTGGAGGGAGGGAGAAACGGGGTGATGTAGGTCAAAGGGTACAAATTTTTAGTTATAAGAGGAGCTCTGACAATCTAACGTAGAGCAAGGTGACTATAGTTAATAATACAGTATTATATACTTGAATGTTGTTGAGAGTAGATCTTAAGCATTCTCACCACACCAAAATGTTAACTATGTGAGGTGATGGATGTGTTAATTATCTTGACCTTTTTAATCATTTCTACATTGTATAGATATATGAAATCAGCACATTGTATACTTTAAATATATACAATTGTACTTGTCAATTTTTGCTCAATAAAGTTAAAAAAATCACATATTATTGAGGAAGTATAAAACTGGGTTATCCTAAAGAATGATACAAATATCAATGAACTTCAGATTATTATAAATTTTAAAAATCTTATTGTACTTTCAAGCATAAATACTAAAAAATAAAAATCTATTTTTCAAGCTAGCATAGAGAAAATAATACTGAGATAAAGATAATTTATCTAAACTAAGGCAAGAAAGGGAAGGCACAGGCTGGATGGATCAATTAGAAAACGTGAAGAAGATGGAAGATAAATTATAATAAAGAGCAATGAACTAAATGCTTATGTTAAAAGGCAAGAGTCATCACTCTGAATTACAAAGTAAAATCTGAAGACATATATTTTACAAAAAAATATATTTAAAATATAAAGAGACTGATTTATAATAATAAAAGTTATTTTCTCAGGAAGAAAAAAGACAAAGAAGAAAGAAGACAATGTAAAGGAAGATTCCAGTGCAGCGTTTCTCAAACTTGAATGTACTTAAGGAAGGACGTCTTGCTAACATGCAAATTATGATTCAGTAGGTCTGAGGTCGGATATTTCTCACAAGTTCCCAAGTAATGCCCATGTTGCATGATCCATAGCCTACGTATTGAAAAGCAAGGTTCTTAGGACACTGGGATGCTAGGTATGGAGGCTAAGGAAGGGTCAAAACTGGCCCCATGGTCGTTGAGTTCGGGTGACTCAGACAATACCAGTAGCAAAAACAAGAAACCTAGAAGGAGCTGGTTAGTGTGAGAGGATGTCGAGTTTGGACAAGCAGATCTTTATTATTTATCATCATATTTCTAATTATTTCTGATATGCTAGTTTATTATATGTTTCTGTGGAATTCTCTGTTAAGTGGTGGTGGGGAGGGAAGGGATAGAAGAGGAGGGGCAAGAATCAGTTTGCCTTGGGGGGGCGGAGCAAGATGGCGGAGGAATAGGAGACCTGGATTTCGTCTCCTCTCAGGAATTCAGCTGGATAGGGATCAAACCATTCTGAACACCTACA